CTGATAAGCCGAAGATAAATGGAGAAAAAAGGTATAAATTGCGAATATGCGTACAGGGTTTTCATGGTAATAGTTGAATGTTGAATGGCAGATGTCACGTGAATAATGGATTAACTGACGAGCACTCCCCTTAATCCTAGGATTATCTATTCTAATACCCGAGCACTATCGGGACTTGTTCGAGATTAAGCTGACCAATCAGACCGATTAGCTTCTATCGATTCGAGCGAATCGATATCGATAAGTTCGATCGAAATGTGGACTCGATTTTTCTGTTTTGGACACGTTTGTGTAGTTGTTGTATTGAACATGTGTGTGGTCATATGTGATATGTAGATGCAACTCGTTATTTGTTAAGTGGACCTTGGATGGAGGCAGAAATAACACTAAATTTAAATAATGAACAAACTGTTTTATATATAGAAACGTTTGTATAAATTGTATAGTTGTATTGAACATGTGTGGTCATATGTGATATGTGGATACCACACGTGATTTGTTAAGTGAACCTTCTTGAATGAAAGCAGAACATCGAATCTAAATAATGAATAAACCGTTTTAAACATACGAACGTTTGTATGAATTGTATAGTTGTATTGAGCATGTGTGATCATATGTGATATGTAGATACCACACATGACTTGTTACGTGGACCTTCGTGAATGAAAGCAGAAATAACACCGAATCTAAATAATGAACCAGTTACTGTTTTAAACATAGACACGTCTGTATGAATTGTATAGTTGTCATATTGATCATGCGTGGTCATATGTGATGCATAAATACAACTCGTGGTTTGTTAAGTGGATTTTCGTGAATGAAAGCAGAAATAACATCGAATCCTAAATAATGAACCAGTTACTGTTTTAAACATAGACACGTCTGTATGAATTATATAGTTGTCATATTGATCATGCGTGGTCATATGTGATGTATAAATACAACTCGTGGTTTGTTAAATGGATTTTCGTGAATGAAAGCAGAAATAACATCGAATCCTAAATAATGAACCAGTTACTGTTTTAAACATAGACACGTCTGTATAAATTGTATAGTTGTATTGAACATATGTGGTCATATGTGATACATAAATACAACTCATAATTTGTTAAGTGGACCTTCGTGAATGAAAGTAGAACACCGAATTTAAATAACGAACAAACCCTTTTAAACATAGAAACGTCTATATAGATTCTATAGTTATATTAAACATGTGTGGTCATATGTGATATGTAGATACCACACGTGATTTGTTAAGTGGACTTTCGTGAATGAAAGCAGAAATAACACCGAATTTAAATAATGAACAAGAAACTGAGGCAGCTGAAAACGACAACCATTATTACGTAGCCTATACACCGGAAACCGGAACTGATATGAAGCATCACGACAGATATAATCAACCTGTTAATATATCGTGTGTGTTACAAATGTTGGTCAAGTGTCGTTGATTCACTTTTTAACCGGTGATAGGTCACTTTAAAATATCGATTCGTAGTTGCACGATGTTGATATTGTTGGTGAATGATAATTTGGGTAATTTTTTTTATTTTTGGATTTGTAGAAAATTTTTGTATTTCTGAATGTAAAATGATTTAAGGAACTAAATCGAATATTTCTCATTCTGAGTCGTTGAATTTGGGTAGAAGAATTACTAATTTGGGTAAATTACTAATTCACTTAATTACATAATTTTTTTAATCGAACTATAGTTTCAATATTCCTCATTGAATTATTCCTTCAATTTATTAAAATGAATTATTAATCCAATACTTTGAATAAAATTATTAATTCAATTTTTTGAATCAAATTCTTTAGATTGAATTGTTAATTCAATTTTATGAATTGAATTTTTAATCAAATTTTTTTAATTCAATTTTTTTAATTAAATTATTAATTTGATTGTTTCAATTAAATTATCTGACAAAGATCAGTGATAACTGTATTTTATATTTTATATAGTAACTGTATTTACATGGTTGTTTAATTAAATGACACAATATTTGGACATACTATGTATGATCGAGTACCAAACAGATATCAAGAAGAAATAGAAAAATCTATACACATAGTGCCACAGTTTGACGATAAACCTAGTTCATCGGAAAAACCCACACAAAAAGGATAATAAGATCGCGCTTCCGAAGTAGATAATTATTTACTACATATGATTTCCGTAAGAGAACTTGAATGAAATGAATATTGTAGTCTATGTTTATGATGTAACTTTGTTCAGCACCTCTTTGTAGAAATACAAACTTTGTAATTAAATTTTCTATGCGCTGCAATTGAAACTACTGAAACTATCATGAAAGCAATTTGATATTTGTTGTAATATTAGTATTATGGTATTTATGGTAATATTTATGGCAATATTAGTATTATGGTATTCATGGTAATATTTATAGTAATATTAGTATTGCAATATTTATGGAAATTTTATATCAATTTTATAGCAATATTAGTATTGCAATATTTATGGTAATATTTATAGTAATATTAGTATTGCAATATTTATAGAAATTTTATAGCAATATTAGTATTATAATATTTATGGTAATATTTATAGTAACATTAGTACTGCAATATTCCTTCTTACAAAATATAGTTCAATTACTACAAACACTACATTCACAAAAACTTGTAAAAATTTTTCAAAACACCATCATTAGTTTCTGAAAGCAAGTTTTCATAACCAATTAATATTTGTAATATCGCAACAATATTACTTAATAAATAAATTGTACACAAGATATATATAAAAATGTACCCATTCTCAAAAGACTATTACATTTCAAAAATCAAATACCTTCATCTACTCAAATCTCATCAAATACCATATCGTAAATTCAATAAAAAAAATTTTCTCAAAATAGTCCGATTAACGATGTCCGCTTAACTCAAAATTTTCCCTATATTAAAAAAGAAATTTAAAAGTGAAGTTCATTGAAGTTTAAACAAAATAAATTTGTTACATTTTCATGTATTTAATATTAGTGCCAAATGAACTAATTTTTATTCATTCAAAATACCTATAAGAAATACATATAACTAATTAATTAATGCATCAAGGTACACCAACTGCGTACAGTATTAATATAAATATTAAAGCATCGATTACGTCGAAGAAAATTATTACTATTTTCGCAAGCACTTGTTTATATATCATCCAAAACAAGTGGAATTTACATCGCAAATAAATACTCGGGAATCAACTTTAATTACGCTGTAATTTATACAAACATCAAAGGAACAGTATTGACGCAGAGCTAACTAGATTTTGTTAAAACTTATTTAAATTTTAGTGCTAGCTACTCTGCTCTTGCCGATTATATTTGTTACTGCATACATTGCTAAATTTTCGAATTTGTGTATTTCAAATTTTGCATTTCTAAAGTTATATTGTCAAAATTTTTATGGGACTCAAATTTCCAGATTTCGACATTTTTACACTTTTTAATTGACTAATTGTTCAAATTCCTAAATTTTTGTATTTTTCTATCTGTCACATTTCTAAATTTTTGTACTCTTCTATTGATCACATCTCTAAATTTTTGTACCTTTCTGTCAGTTACATCTTCAAATTTTTATACTTCTGAATCGACCATATCTTTCAATTTTCATATCCACCCTTCACATTAAATACATCCACATTAAGGGTTGAAAGAGCAAGGAACACTAATCACCACAAAATATCAAATTTTCAAATGAAGTGTCGAATGTCTTTGTTTCACATCGAAGAAAAAATGAAATCAGCAAAATATTCCTGAAATTTTCAATCAAACTCGATGCTCCATAAGGGTTGAACTGCACTACAAAAGCACGGAAACCTAATCATCACTGAGTACCTCAAACTCAAGTAAAATATTCGATATAATTATACCTTGAAGGTATAACCGCTTAAGAAACTAAAAATCTGAATCAGTAAAAAATTCCTCAAACTTTCAACAAGACTACCGGTACATCCTCACTGAGAATTGAACTCTGCTAGAAGAACAAGAAAGCCCGATCATCACAAAGTATCTCAAATTTTCAAACAAAAGGCCTGTGACATAAATGTCTCAGTTTAACATCGCTCAAGAAACTAAAAATCTGAGTCAGTAAAAAATTCCACAAACTTTCAACAAGACTCCCGGTGGATCCTTACTGAGAATGTAACTCTGCTACAAGAACAAGAATTCCCAATTATTAAGTATCTCAAATATAAAAACGTAGAAAGTAACTTTCATAAATGTCAATAACGTCCGAAATCTAAATATCTTAATATCACTCAAGAAACTAAAAATGTGAATAAGCAAAAAATGCCAGAAATTTTCAAGAAAACCAATGCATCGACGTTAAGGTTTACCAGGGCAGCCCCTGGTGCCCCGTCGCCGTCGTTAACGGTGTGCACGGTGTTGCATGCACACAGGTGCAGCCTGTGCACCTGTGTACGTGGCATCTTATCTTTAGCCACACCCCCGGAATGAATGCGGTACCGGGCCAAGGAGGGAACAGGGGATACCGGAAAACTAGCTCCCGGACCAGAAGTGGGAGATCGGCGCGAAAGACGAGGACCGAGCGCGATAAGTGGAGGCAGAGAAGAACGGGACAAAAGATTATACACAGACAGAAAGGGGTGATTAAGGCAAAGCGCGGGAGGAAAATAAAGAAAAATATCGAGTAGAGCGAAAGAAAAGTGTAGAGTGTAAAAAAGGAGAGAACTCGAGGGAGAAAGGGGAGTAGCGGATGAGCGATAGAGAGAAGGATAACATGATCGGAAAGGATCAGGAGGAGGACGAAGAACGAAGAAAGGAGAAAGACAGGAAACTGGCGCGGATGACGAAGGTAGTTTCTGGAGGGTTTGAGGGTGAACCCCATCCGCGTGAGGACCAGGATGGTCCTCCGCTGTGGGCGATGCTGGTCGCGTCGAGGTGGTGGGGTGACAACGACGGTAGGTAGGGCGTCGTAGGGGCAGAACCAGCGCCGCGACGCCTTGGCACGCACAGTCGCGCCTCGAACGCCGTCCCATGTGAACGTGTTGTTCCCGCGATTCGTGTCGATTTTTTTTCCCACCCTGCACGATGTCCGATTAACTCAAAATGAACAGTGTATTCTGAACGATATCGGGTGTCATCGAGTGACATGCGTCAAATTTTTCAGAACAGAATGCACAGTGTAGCAAACATGTGTTTGTCGCAACAGTGAACGAACAGTGGAATTGATGTATCAAAATGTAAATCTGCCTTTTGGGAATTGGCTGACACGTGTGTGATCTGGTGATCTAATCGATATTACGAACGATATTAATTATTGATGACGTCGAGATTGAAGATCAGATGTGAGACGGTTGTAGTAGAGAAGGGACACATGTGACTACGATTGCAAATCCGTTAATACGGTTGGAAAGCATCGAGAAGTAGGTGATAATCGACGAAGCAACGAACGATTAATGAGAGTGTGTAATTAAAAATGACGGGTCGCGAGTCCCGGAATTATTAAGGGACTCTTTACGAGGGAATGGATTTTCAGAGCGCTATGGACACGTTTGTAGAGGCATGGATGGCTGCTAATACGAAACCAGAACAGATACAGGTAAATCATGTAATCATTATTATTAATCCCTTCGTCAATGCGATGTCATGCATTTTGGAACAAAAAGTGTCTACTTGACATTTGTAACTGTACTCAATGTGTATTATTTTAGAACAGAAACTTTTTTAAATCTAAATTTTTTTTTTGGAGCACAGAATATTCTGAAAATTGTTATTGTTAACTGTTATGTTGTTTTTGATGTTAACAGTGATACAAATAAAGAATTGACATTTTTTAATTTTTTGAAAAAACAAATACAAGTATTATTATAAATTGTGTTGTAATTAATTGTTATATTATTTTGACATTAATAGTGTAAATAGAAGAATGTCAATTTTAGATGGGATTTATTTAAATTTATAATTTTTAATGTAGCGAATATATGAATATATTAGTGTAATTAATTGATTATATTGATTTTGACATTTATGGTGATAGAAATAGAAACATGACAATTTTAGAAGAAAGACATTTCTTATGGTAGTAACAGGTAATATTGTTATGTTGCTGCTTGACATTAATAATGTCATCCTTAAAAAACTGTTAATTTTAAAAGAAGGACTTTTCAAAATTCAATAGAAGATTTCTTTCTTCTTTTTCAATAGAAAAATAGCATTTCATTTTCATGAAATCCGAAGTCTTTTCTAGTTTGCAAAGATATTATATAAAATTTAGACAAATTTATATAAATTTAGTGTTGCAACATTAAGTCACAACTTTTTCAAACTCTTTCAAACTGCTCCATAAATTATATATTAATTTTTTTATTTCATTATAATAAATCTAAAAATATATGAAGCACTAAATAATTTTAATTTAAATAGTAAGGGTTGTAAAAACAGTATAGTCTTTGCTTATTAATAATAAATATTGAATGTATAAATGGAAGATAAATTTTGAAAATATTCCTTTTAATTGAATATGTACTTAGAAATGAATGATCGTGGTAGTATGACAAGATTAGTATCCATGAGTAGCATCGTCGAGAAGTAACCCCTTCTACATTACACAGCCAATTGGCCACCCTATCAGTTTCTGCCCTCTTGGGTACTTTCAACTCGTCACCTAGTTAGTACCCTGCTATCAATTTGCCCATTTTCCGTCGCATCTTAGAATAGCAAGTTTATTTGCACGAAATTGATTGTGTGTCGAAGAAGTTATGTACGAAAAAGAACGAAGTACGAGGACAAAAAATTAATCGTTTTCATTTCAGTTACAGTAGTAATTAAATTTAGAAAAATTAATTCAAAAATTTTAGCTTCAAAGTATAAGAGGCAAACAACATTTAAAATTTAAGAATTTAAGGTACAATTCAGAATATAATTAATTTCAAATTTATAATTGAAAAGCAAAAATTTCAATAAATAAAAATTGCTTTAAAATACAGACACTGATATTTGAAATTTTAAATACAAATTCAGTATGAAGTTAGGAAAATTAAATTTCATTTATTATAGGAATAAGAAAATAAAATTGAAATCAGTATAAAATGAAGTGAACAAAATTTGAAGTAGAAAATTTATAAAATAGAATGTAAGATTAAAAATTTCAAGTTCGATATTAATGCACAAATAGATTTAAGGTAAAGTTGAGGAAGTAAGATTGAAATTAGTATCGAAAATAATAAAAGAAAATTAGAGTTACTATCACAATAATAAAATGGGATGAAACTAGTGAAAAATGAACAAAATTTCAAGTCAGTATAAAATTTGTCGAACACAATATTACCAATTGTAAAATACACCAAACATTGTTTAACCCACTGTAAAAATAACTAAACACAATTTAATCCACTGCAAAATTCACTAAACACAATGTAATCCACTGTAAAATTCACCAAACACAATTTAACCTACTATAAAATTCACCAAACACAATTTATCCCACCATAAAATTCACCAAACACAATTTATCCCACCATAAAATTCACCAAACACACTATCACCCCTTATAAACCTCACCAAATATATTTCAAACTAATACAAAACTACAACTATAATTTGAACCACCCTTAAAATCAATTACAACCCTCAATTCAAAATTCCCTCATAACACAAAAATTAAAAAATTGCAACCCATAATTCAGCTTAAGAAAGATTCGACTCCCTCAAAAATTAACGAATGTCAACAAATGTTAATTCAGAGCTTTATTCAGTAAAAGCACAGTAAGCTTTCGATTGAGGGACACGACATGGCATAAGTTTTGAACGGAAGTGTAGAAATTCCGTGGTGTAAAATTTTCGAGCGCTAAACGGGGCAGTAGAGATAGAGTGGAGAGGGTTGAGAGATAATCCTTGGTAAAACCGCGGATCGTACGTGTTGCGTGGATGGACGCATATACGTTTACACGTGTACGTACGGGGGGTCACGGGTTCTGACCACGATACGGATGTGCCCATGCCTTCTTCCTGTGCCACGACCACGTTCACATTCTGGCATTCAGTGCAATAAGACCGCATCTCCATTGATCGGTCGATCTCTTTGTCGTGAAACATTTTTTAACCCTTTCTGAAAATGTTCGGTTTTCTTCTGTTGGATGATGTGCGAAATGGGGTGAGAATAATGTATCTTGAGATCGGTTGCTGAAATTGCGTTTAGTAATTGTAATGATAAGTTAACTGCTCTTGTTAGTGGTTAATGAATGGTTGTTGTGGATGCAACTGATGAAATTAATGAATACTAGGTAGTAATGAATAGTAAATGATAGTAGTATTAATAGTAGAATAGTATTGGTACTGCTAATGAGAACTGCAGTGCTAATGATACTGTTGGAATGCTAACAGTAATTCTACTAATAGTAGTACAATAGTAGTACAGGTAATATTGAGTTTACTAATAGTAGATTACTATTAATACTAATAATAGTTGTGTTAATAGTAAAATACTAGTGGTGGTACTAGTAATGATTCTACTAATACTAGAATACTAATGGTAATTCTATTAAGAGTAGTACAATATTAGTACTGGTAGTATTAACTTCACTAATAGTAGAATACTATTAATACTAATAATAGTTCTGCTAATAGTACGATACTGACAGTATTACTGGTAAAAATTCTACTGATAGTGGTATACTAATAGTATATCTGTTAATAGTAGTACAATATTAGTACTGGTAATATTAATTTTACTAATAGCAGAATACTATTAATACTGATAATAGTTGTGCTAATAGTAAAATACTAGTAATACTACTAGTAATGATACTACTAATACTAGAATAATGATAGTAATTTTATTAATAGTAGTACAATATTAGTACTGGTAATATTAACTTTACTAATAGCAGAATACTATTAATACTAATATTAGTTGTGCTAATAATAAAATACTAGTGATACTACTAGTAATAATACTACTAATACTAGAATACTAATAGTTATTTTATTAATAGTAGTACAATATTAGTACTGGCAATATTGATTTTACTAATAGTAGAATACTATTAATACTAATAATAGTTTTGCTAATAGTAAAATACTAGCAGAAGTACTAGTAATAATTCTACTGACACAATTAATACTACTAATAATAATTTTACAAATACCAGAATATTATTAGTGCTACTAACAATAATTCTATTAATACTAGAATACTGTTAATGCTACTAATAGTAGTTCTACTAATAATAAAATTACTGCTAGTGGTTGACTACTAATAGTACTAGTATAGTAACAATAAGTATAAATAAATAGAAAGTAACTCCTACTATTAGTATTTAACGACTACTATTAATAGTATTAGTAGTATTTACTACTATTAGGACTACTATTAGTAGTATTTAATTTTAGTATAGTTGGAAAGATAAAGTTGAACCTAAGTATTACAGTAATTGGTCAGATTCGACCCTGTTGAACTACAAATACTCATAAATATAAACAAATATAAATAATACAAGTAACAGAAAATAATGAACATACATTTATTTATTAAAATATCCATCAAATTTGTCTATAAAAAATAACTAAAGGGGTGTAGAGTCAAATAAAAATTAATTATAAAATTTCTATAAAATAACTTATAACCCTATATGAAAATCAAATTTTTATACAACAAAATTCTGCAATAAAATAATTTAATAGAATTTAATATACATTAATTGAATAACTAAATGTAGTTCTTTTATTCTCATAAGAACCATATTTGTACATCTTTTTTAGAATCCTACATTTTACACATTGACTGAACGACAAAATTGAAGGTAATTTTGTATACCTCTAATTTGTCCCCTAGATTCCCCTGGTTCGATTACAAAGAATTTAATTTGAAAGGGAATTTGAACGGTATTACATGGTGTTTGCCGCACGTTTAAATCGACTGTTCCCCTTTTACGATTCTTTTCTACGGTGTAACAAGCATGCGGTTTCCGCTGTTAAAAATTGAGGGGTAAATCCAGGAAAGGCAATTCGTACATAATAACGGGGATCTGCGGCAAATGAATTTCAACTTTCCAGTTCTATTACATAATTACTTAGAATTAGAATATATGTGTGCCACTTTATCAATAGGCACAGCAAGTGTTTCGTACAAAAACTTTAAAAAGTCACAAACGTTTGTCATACTTCTTTTTTAAGATAATTTATCAAGTTTCTCAAATCCCATCGTCGATATTCGAATATAATGCCTTTGAATAATAAATTCAAATTTATTAAAAATTTTGATTTTTAGAATTCATTAAGAATTGTGATTTTTAAAATTCATTAAAAATTCTGATTTTTAAAATTCATTACAAATTTTGATTTTTAAAATTCATAAAAATTTTGCTTTTCGATAAATTCAAAATGGATAAGAAAATTTAATAAATTAAAAGTAGTAATGAATTAATTAATTAAAGAAATTGATTTAAATGAATGAATGATTAAGTAAAAATGAATCAAAATTAGTTATTGATATAAAAAAGATACATTAATATATCTCTTCATTGTCTGATGAATATTAAATATTAAACTGATTGAAAAGTGTCAAGAATGTAAAAGAAATTCAAAAATTACAAAAATTGC